TGCAGGACGGCAGGGGGGCGATGGACACCAGGTGGGTTCCGGACTTCAGCCCCGCCTTGCTGCTGCGGGACCTGGCGGGCGTACCTCCTTCAAGGACTCCTGGGCCAGCTTCTCTGCCTCCCACCTGGGGGTCCCCAGGGGGAAGCCCTGAGCAGCAATATCGGAGGGGCCTGCGGGCTCCTCTTTGGCAACGGGGGACTCCTTCGGGAGTTGAGGAACTTCCTCTGGGAGTCTGGGAACCTGGAGGAGAGATGTTGGCCAGGTCAGCCGACGGGCCACAAGATCAGCACCCCAAAATTTGAACATTGTTAGGTAAAGGGACCCCTGACCATTAGGTCCAGTCGCGGACGACTCTGGGGTTGCGTGCTTATCTCGCTCTATAGGCCGAGGGGGCTGGCGTACAGCTTCCGAGTCATGTGGCCAGCATGACTAAGCCGCTTCTGGCAAACCAGAGCAGCGCACGGAAACGCTGTTTACCTTTCCGCCAGAGTGGTACCTATTTATCTACTTGCACTAGTGTGCTCTCAAACTGCTAGGTTGGCAGGAGCTGGGACCGAACAACAGGAGCTCACCCTGTCACGGGGATTCGAACTGCCAACCTTCTGATCGGCAAGCCCTAGGCTCTGTGGTTTAGAGCACAGCGCCACCCGCATCCCTTGAACATTGTTAGCGACCTTTAAAAATGACAATGTCCATCTGAGATAAGAAGCACCGATCACTCTTCTTTCAGGAAATGCCCGAGAACTTGTTGGCCCAAACTGGAAATCTCTGGAACACTCGCAAAGGTCGCATTGGAGAAAAAAGCTTTCAGGGAAACGGACCAAGGAAGTTAAAGCCTTAAGCTGGGAAGAGACAGTTTCATGGCACTACGTCCATTACAATGGCATCCACCAGAGTTGCATTTGAACCTTGGGAAAATGCTTCTCCATAGGACCCTCCGGTTTGGGGAAATTGGGTGAGGAGGGGAAGTTGCTTACTAAGGGGTGCTGTAGTCTCACGTTCCTTTTGAATAACCAATTAAAAACATTGAAGAACACAAGCCAAGGGGCTAGAAGCCAGCCTGTTGGACTGGGTGGGAGAAGCTGACTGGTTATAATAACATTATTATTTATTAATTGTATACACCGCCCTTCCTCGAGAAACAACAGGGCATTTTACAACATAAAATAAAAAATTCATGGGGTTGTGTTTTTTTGCAATGTTTTGAAAGACTAGGCTTTGCCGCTATGGTAGCAGAGCTGTTTTGACAGTGAAACAGTCTCCCTTGGGGGGAGGCGGACTCCCCTTCCTTGGGGTTTTAAGCCGAGGTCAGGTGGCCATGGGTCAGGATGCTTGAGCCGAGATTCCTGCACTGCAGGGGGTTGAACTTGATGACTCTCAGGGAACTCTTTCAACTCTATGGTTCTGTGACTCTAAGGTTAGCCTCAAAACTGGGGGTTGGAAGAGCAGAATCAAGACATCTGCCCGGACACCGGGGTCCAGCTCCGAGGGCCTTCTGCCGGTTTCCTCCCTGCGAGAAGCCAAGTTACAGGGAACCAGGCAGGGGCTTTCCAGGGAGTCAGGCAGGGGACATTCCCAACCCGACTGCTCTGTCCGGGGTTGGCAAACTGCAGAGGGATGGAGGCACTTCAGGTGAAAGGGCAAAGTGTGGACTTTTGCTGGAGGGCTGTGCCAAATGGGGAGGGATTTTCAAGGCTTGTGCCGCTGCTAGAACGCTGTAGGTCCAGGAGGAGGTGAACAAGGTAGCTTGCGGCTCTTTTACAGCCAAGGCCACCTGCTCACTTCCTCTTTGAAATGAAGTCATTCTGCTGGGACCTTGGCAGTCAACTACACCAGCCTCAGGGCAGGAGGAACTGCAGCCTCCGGGCCAGGTATACAGAGTCCATCTTGCGCAGTATTTGCAGGGGGTTTTCTCCCAGCTCTAACCAGAGATGCTGCCACTGGGGCCTGAACCCGAAGCCTTCAGCTCCACCACGGAGCTCCGGCCCTCCCTGGAGGACGCTGCCATGCCACATTTGCCGCAACATCCCAGGGAGACCTTCAGCCTGCTAGGAACTAAGCCCATCGTGCGCTAGGGAGGGGCAAAATTGGTTTTCAATTATATCACCAGCTGAACACTGCAATATACTGATATATCACAATGTCTGACACAAGGATGGAGCTACGCAAAGGCTCTGGCTGGATCCACGCTATTTCCTGCATTGTGATTTTTGGATAGCGCACATGTATGATTTGCAATACAGTCGTACCTCGGAAGTCGAATGGAATCCGTTTAACGTCTGGAAACCAAGGCGCGGCTTCCGATTGGCTGCAGAAAGCTCCTGCAGCCAATCAGAAGCCATGGAAGCCCCGTCGGACATTTGGGTTCCAAAGAACGTTCACAAACCAGAAGAGTCACTTCCGGGTCTGCGGCGTTCAGGATCCAAGGTATACCGTATTTTCCGCCCTATAGGACGCACTTTTTCCCCTCCAGAAATGAAGGGGAAATCTGGGTGCGTCCTATGGGGCGAATGCAGGCTTTCGCTGAAGCTTGGCGAGCGAGGGGTCAGTGCGCACCGACCCCTCTCGCTCTCCAGGCTTCAGGAAGACATCCGCAGCCTAGGCAGCCCTGCGGGAGGTCCCGCAGGATGTCTAGGCTGCGGATAGCAGCCTGCTTCCCGGAGCGTCGGGCGCCCTAAAAGCAGAGCGCCTGGAACTTCGGGAACACATCTGCAGCCTAGGCAGCCCTGCAGGAGGTCCACAGGGATGTCTAGGCTGCGGATAGCAGCCTGCCGCCCGGTGGCGGGGCGCTCTGAAGCAGAGCGCCCCTCGCGCCGGGCAGACATTGGCCAGCCCCACAAGCTCGGGGGACAGCAGGGAGGCGCAGCGCCGCCATCCCGCTGTTCTTCGACCTGGTTCGGTTTCCCCGACCTGCTTTTTGGGGGGGATTTTTCCTTTATTTCCCCCCCAAAAAACTAGGTGCGTCCTATGGGACGGAGCGTCCTATGAGACGAAAAATACAGTAGGTCAAAAATGATGAAACGGAGGTCATGATATTGGTTTTGGACAATATATCGATATGCCACCCAGCCCTATCATCAGCTGAGGCCTGCAGCCTTCTCTGCGGGCCAAGCACCCCCTGTCCTTCTGCCCTCCTGGCAGGATCTGTCCTCTGGGCCCCTGGTCCACCCAGCCCTCCTCTGGATGCCTCCCTGATCTCCCCCCCCAAAGCGTTATTGGAAGGATCTCGACTTCATCAGCCCCAGCAGGACGAGGCCGCCCCTCGCCAGCCTGGCCGGTGTGCCAGCCCCTGCCCTCCTACCTCTGGCTCCTCCGGGCGCGGCATGGCTTGCAGCACAGGCACAGAGCCCTGGGCCCAGGAGTCGGTGATGCCGGCCACAGGCTCCTCGTCCTCCTGCCAGGTGGGCTCCGCAGGCACCCCGGCCTCGCCCTCGTCTCGCACCAGGAAGCGCCACTCGATGATTTGCAGCATGGCGTCCCGGGCCTGGGTGATGACGTAGGGGATGCACTGGGGAGGGGGCAGAGCGGAGGGTGAGCAGGAGGGGGGGAGAGGCTGGCAGGGTCCCCTTCAAGGCTCACGGCCTCACCCACCCCCCCAGCCTGTCTGGAAACCCCAAGGAGAGAGGAATGGATGAAATTCAAAGACTATTTCGCTAAATATGCTAAGATAACTTAAATAGAAATATTTGAAATTACCAGATTGGCTCAGGATTTAAATATGTGATGTTATAGGATAATATGTTTAAAGTTAATATGAAAAGAAAGAAAGATGTTCCTTGACTAAGTAAATGTTATGAGAAATTAGTTTTGGAAAACTGTTACAATGCTATATATTGAAACTCAGCCAGGGGGATTCGAGGAAGTCACTTAATAATGTTAACAAAAGTGGAATTATTACAGTTAGGATTTATGTTTTTTTGTTTGTTTATAAATTTGGGAAATCAATAAAAAAAATTGGGGAAAGACAAAGAGAAACACACACACACACACACACACACACACACACACACAGGGCTCTCCCACAAACAGCCCAGCTCTGAGCATCAGAGTCAGAGAGGCAGGCAGGAAGCTCAGGCTGAGGGGCGAGATTTGCACCCGTGGCACATGCACACCTGGTTGGCCTCTTTCAAAAGGCCAGGCCGTTCAGGCTCCTTGACACAGGATGGACACCTTCAGCCTATCGCTTTCGGTGCCTGCAAAAAATGCTGGGATTCCTGCATTGCAGCGGGCCGGACTAGATGGCCCTCGGGGGGCCCTTCCATCTCTGCAGTTCTCTGATTCCAAGCGGTTTGCAACGGCTGGGCTAAGAACCGAAACGTGTTAGGTGCCAATTATTCTTATTCTATTTGATAGAAACACAGAATGGTGGAGTTGGAAGGGACCCCCGAGTCATCCCGTCATTTAGTTCAACCCCTGGCTATGCAGGAATCTCCACCAGATCACACATAACAGGTGACCATCCATTTATCTTTATCTTGTGTTTTTCAGGGTGTCTTACAGAGAAAGCTTTGGACCAAACATTAGAAGGCAAAGCATGATGGAATGATGGAAGGAAACGGAAGTTTAATTCCAATATATGGGCCTAATACTGACGAACAAGAGAACCGCTATATCTCATGAGAATACCAAAGAGAGCAGCAGTTTAAGTAAGAGATTTTGAACTCTGAAGAATAGAAGTAGTGTGATCAAGCACTTCTAGAGCAGCTTTTGACCTCTGTTCCGGCACGTGTCGCACCTGCTGCCCTGCTACCTGATAGTCGGGTGAAAGGGGTGGAATGACG